AACTTTTTTTTACCAAATATGATTCACCTCTTTACAATTCAGATGTTGTCTCTTAAGTTATTAAGAGGTAAACAAACATTATGTAAACAAACAACCCCTATTTTGTGAACATGATTTCAACATCAGTGTATAGTTGTTTGGCAGAAACTGAATGGTTTGATGTAGAATGATTAAATGGTCGGAATGATTAAGAAGCTCTCATGATATAGTGCAAAATGAGATATAATTGTTTACAATGAAATTAGAGTGCTGAATGGTTAAGGAAGACTCAGAATACAAAATCATTCAAGAGGTTTTAGAACCATTAAGAAACAAACTTTTTTTTACCGAACAAAATTCACCTTTTAACAATTCAAAAAATGTATCTTAATAAAACAATTAAAAAGTAAACAAACAACCCTATATATAATAATAAAATAGTATTTTAATGCTGAAAACTACCTTTGAACGTATTAAATTCTTTAACTATTCCTTTCACATCAACACCATCTCAAAGATTTCCAATTGGTCGAATACAACAAAAACAAATAAAAATTAATAATAATTAAAAAAAAAATGGTCAAAACCCCATCACTCTTATCTTAGATTCTAACTTGTGGTGGTGTGTGATTGTGAAACTAACAACATTACCCTTCACAAATCCATAATTTTTCTGTCAGTATACTTTTTAAATAGCAAATTACATAAAAAAGTAACGTACTTTAATTTATTTTATATTTTGGATAACGTATTTTTAAAACTTTCATTTTGAAATCTTAAATTCAAAATTTTAAACATTTAAGTATCTGGATAACCAATTAATTCTTCAATCAGTTACTCGGATACTTAAATGTTTAAACATTTACATCTTAAGTACCAAAATGAAAGTTTTAAAAATACATTACCCAAAATAAGAATCAAATTAAATCATAAAATTTACCATTTTTAAAAGGATGCTGTTTGCCATATAACAATGATAAAAAAAATATTATCTTTAAAAAAAAGCTGTGTTTGATTTTGTATTAGTTTCAGGGTATTTTTCAGAGAGAGATGTGCATGCAGTTTATGAGTGTCTTCTGCTCATCCAAATCATAAAAAGTAGAACAAAAATTTGAAGACAGAAGAGTTTTGGGGGGTTAAGTGTCTTAAAAAAATTCCAAAGTACAGGTGGTGTACAAGTTTTGATGCATAATGTACAAGTGGGTATAGTTGAGAGTTTTCAAATCTGGTGAAAAGAGATGGGTTTTGGTGTGGTTGTGTTTTTTTGGGGGGGGGGGGTTGTACTGCACAACAAACAGTATCTGCCACCACTGTGTTGTACTGGTGAGTTGTGTAAAAGGTCTAGAACAACAGAGTGCCTTTAGATTTAGGTTTTCTTGTAAAAATATAGAGACTTTGGTTTTAACTTTTAATATATACACAGATGTATATATATATATATATATATATAGGTGAGTTATTATATAATTTCTTATATTTGTACAACCAATACAACTTAATTTCAACCGTCTATTTAATTTGATGAATATGTAATTTATAGAAGTTTTTATTATTTTCTAATATAAAGTATTAATCATAATTAATGAGCCGTATTCATCTTCTATAAATATTTAAATCATAATAAATGAACTCTCATCATTTTCATAAATATTTCAATTTATTGGGTTGTATTGGTTGTACAAATACGATAGGTTGTATTTGAAACAAATTATATGTGTGTATATATATATATATATATAGACTTGGATCATGTGAGAGCAGTCTTTTTTTGTGAGATCACTTTTTATACTTGAAACTTCATAGCAAAACGTTGTGAAAATAACATTCACAGTGTTTTTGCTGTGAAGGTTCAATTTTTTTTTACCTTGACAGCGTTTTGCTGTGAAGCTTCAAGTGTAAAAAAATGGTCTCACGGGTCTTACAAAAACATGTTGGTCTCATGTGAACCCAACCCACACACACACACACACATATATATATATATATATATACACCAAGTTCTTTTTTATGACCTAATAATTTGTACAAATTAGTTTTTGTGTGTTGTTTTATAGATGAAACAATATATGTGAAGTTGCATTTTCATATAGTGTTTTTTTCATATTGAAACGTTCATGACTGTTTTTCTCCACACATAAAGCAATCATGAATGTTTCACATATGAAACAATATTGTATAAACACTTTTATTTTCACAGATGTTGTTTCATATGTAAAAAAACGCATTAAAATTGATTTGTAGGTTTATACAATTTATTAGATTTGTAAATGATTATAACATGTGTGTATATGTCTCACATAGAAATATTAAGACCTTGTTATATTTTAGGGTTTGTGCCTTTTAGGACAGACATGAATGAAGTTTGGCAGGTGAAACATTTATATAAAGTTTTAGGGTTTTAATTTGATATGGATGGTCTGATACTTCATAAATAGTCTCTTCTATTATGATGGGATCACGTGAGACCAACCTGGTTTCATGAGACCCGTAAGAACAGTTTTTTACAATTGAAACTTCACAGCAAAACGATGTGAAAGTAACATTCACAGCAAAAAGATGTGAAGGTAACATTCACAGCGTTTTGCTATGAATGTTCGGGGTTTTTTTACCTTCAAGTGTAAAAAAATGGTTTCATATGTCTCATGAAAACAGACTGGTCTCACGTGAACCCGACACATAATAGTTTGGTTTTTGAAGTCTTTGTAATAAAAGTTATAAAGAAATGATGTAGAAAATCCCCAAAAGACAAAACAATATTACCCTTTTGACAATTTGATGGTTATGATCATAAAAGGGTGCTTAAACAGCTCATAAGATTAACCTTTTCCTCAAAATCAATTATTCTCATTTAAGTTATCATTACTCAATTGAATTATAATCAGTTGATCTCACGTTTAATCTCTGCATCAAACATGATACTGTTTATAACATATTTTTTTTTAAAAGAGAAAAAAAAAGATTTTAATAAAAAAAAAAACCTCCAACAAAATTTTCGTAACTTTCTCCGGAATGAACAATGTAAGAGAAAGAGAGTGACAAAGTGGTATGTGAGTCATTGGCTTTCTAGGAAGACAATGATTCAAACCTCACCAAAGATGAGGAGGGTGTGTGAATTTATTTGTTCTATTTCTCGTATATAAATATTATATATTTAAAAAAAAAGTAAAATTCTCCAAATTTGAAGAACTGCTTTAAAATGATTACATGTGAGAGAAATATATTTCTATCATATTCCCACCAATTTAAAACATTGATATTAAATATTTGGAAAAGACAAATAATATTTTATCAGATATATGAAATATTTTAATAATATAATTAATGTTGTAATATCCAAAATGGATAACTATTGAAATTGAATCTAATTTTTTGGAGATTTTAAATGTTAATTTTTCACTTTGAAGAAATTTTAAAGAATCTTTGGAAGATGCAATGATATGTTGTACTTAGAACATCTCCAATAGCTATGTTAAAATAGAGAAAGTGAGGTTTTAGCAATTTTATTGCTGCAATAGCTATCTTAGGGGTTGTTTGACAGTTGCTGAATAGTTTGATGCAGAATGATTAAGTGGTTAGAATAATTAAGAGGTTTTTATGATATAGTGCAAGATGAAATATAATTATTTGGTAATTGTTTACAATGAAATCAAGGCGCTTAATGGTTAAGAGATGCTCATGATACAAAATCATTCAGAGGGTTTTAGAACCATTAAGAGACAGACTTTTTTTTGCCAAACAAGATTCATCTCTTAATGATTCAGATATTGTCTCTTAATGAAACTATTAAGAGGTAAACAAACACCCCTTATCTTGTAAGTTAAAACTGAGAAAAGAAGAGAGAGAAAGTAAAAATCTCTACTTTTGGAGAAATCTTTTAAACTCTTTAATATTTAATTATTTCTCACAAATATGAGATATTGAAATTAAATGTTTAGCAGGAAAAAATATATTTTATTAGATGTATTGAATATGTTAATAATATAGTTAATGATAGAACTATTAAAATAGAGTACTTGGATTTGGGTGTAATTTTTTTAGAGATTTTAATATATGATACTGTATTTTAAAATAATTTTAACATAACTGTTGAAAAACCTCTTAAATGGTCTTCCTTTATTGCATGAGTTTCAGTGATTATGCTTTTTGCAACCAAACTTGAATTCTTTTACCATTAATATACCTTTTTTTTCTTTATCGGTGAGTCCAACTGAAAGGCTAGACTTCAGAATCATTTTCATACATCATCAGTTCGAGTTATCTTAAATCCACTGTAAATTTTCCTAGCTATTATCTTAAAGACCCATTGAATTAATCGAAACGCATACAAGCAACATATGAATCCTGGAGCTAACCAACTGAAGGCTAGACTTTAACTCTTTATCTTAGGTTGTCAGCTCGAGTTTCCTTAATAGGGTCAAGTCAGGACTTTCCTGAACACCCCATTGAATCAATTGAGGTGCTTACAAACAACACCTTAACGTGAATCTATGAATCTTGGAGCTAACCGAATAAAAGCTAGGCTTTAAGATCCCATGGAATCAATTGAGGTGCTTACAAACAACACCTTAATGTGAACAGGGGCGGATCCAGCCTTTAAGGATTTTGGGGGGGGGGGGGGAAGACCTTCAATCAAAGACCAAAAACGTTTGTTGACTAGCTTAAATTTTCTATTTTTACCTCGTCTTACATGGTTTCCCCCCAGCCCCATATGGCCATATGCTTGCCTCCCCTAAGTCTCATCCAACGTACCCCCACCCCCATTAATTTCTTGGATCCGCCACTGAATGTGAACCTATGAAGCTTGGAGCTAACAGAATAAACGCTAGGCTGGTTCATCGGTTCGAGTCTACTTAAGATCATTAGGGACTTTTTCTAAGGAACCCATCAGATTAATCAAGGTACACACAAACTAGAAATCTTGGAGCTAACAATACGTGTTCCCAAATCTTTGATCCTGGTAAAAAAAGTTGTACTTTATGCATTAAAAATTGTAAAAAAAACCATCCAAGAAAGCACATAAATTTGGTCAAAAAGACATTCTTGATTTCAATTAGATTGAAAGATTTACAAAAGGTTATTCTTAAATATCTGAAAAGGCCACTACTAGATAACAAAGAGTTACACAAATCTAATTAAAATTAATTAATGTACTTCCCTATTAAACAACACAAATGGACCCCATTTTCATCTCTCTTTTTTTTTTCTTTTTTTTTCCTTTAAAAAAAAAACCCACAATGCAAATTAAAAAAGAATTCAAGAAACAGAAAAATTGGAAGTTGAGCTGAGCTGATTAAGCAGGCCTAGTCCTCTTCTGCACAGCTTTCCCATCTGATCTTGAATCCCCTTCAGATGAATTGACATCAATGGATTTTGAGAAATTTGATGAAAGATCAGAGTAAAGACCCACAACTTTCTTTATATTGTTGTTCAGCTCTCTGATTAATCCCACATTTTTACTGAGATTATCTGGGATTTTGGACTCATGATTCTGATTAATCTCATTAATCAAAACCCTATTTTGATCCAAAATGTTCTGAACCTGAACAAAACTCTTTTGAAATGTCTGCAACACCTTCCCATCTAAATGAGCTCCACCATTTCCCTCCATTGAAGCTCTCAGATCAACTCCAAATCTGCACAGACATATGAGCTGTTTAGGTTAAGCCCTCATCTTTTCTATTCCAATTTAATATGCAGTTTGGTAGTAATAAGAATAAGAATAAGACCAGACAAAAGACATGATAAGATTTGGGGGAAAATCATTAAAAAAAGAGGGAAGAAAATTGAGCAAAAGAGACAAGTTCTGATTCTGAAACAAGAAAACCATGACACCCATTTGGGGGTTTCTTTTTCTTTTGTTTTTTTGCTTTCATTGAAGAACACAAAATGTGGAAATAATTGCACACAAAATTGGGTTATAATTATTGAAACTTTTTAATGAAGGTTTACAAAAACTAATAATTCAGTGTTTTTATTTTGAAGTTATTATTGAGGATATGATGAGATGTAAAAAAGGAGATCTTATTTCCATAAAGGGGAAAAGCTTTTTCCATTTGTACTCAGAAAATAAACACCCACCCAAAAGGGTTAATAACTCTGAGTTTTCAAAAAAGAAGAATCTCAAGAATCAAAGATTACATGTATCAACATAAACACCAAAATGGGTATCATTTCAGGCTTTTATACAACATGCATACATCATATATACATATATATATATATATATATAGCTTACACACACCAAAAGTGTGAAACTATGTGTAAAGCAAAAAATGAAACAAACCCATCATCAGAAATTTGGTTTCAAATTCTGGGTAACTGAAAAAGATGAACAAAATTGGGGATTCAAAAGGAAAACACCAGAAAAATGGAAACCCCCACTTTGAAGATCTTGAAAACAGATCATTTTGAGCAAAATAAACTGGATAATAATTTAAATGAAATCCATACCTACAGTAAGAACAGTGTATGTAATCAAGAAATAACTCCAATTAATTTCAAGAAACAGGCTCAATAAGATCAAAGATGGAGCAAATCGATGAACTGGGAAGCTGATGGAAGTTGAAAAACAATCAAGAAACCATAATTTGTTTGAAATTTTGTGATCAAAAGTGAAATATATATATATATATATATGTGTGTGTGTGTATATATATATATATATATATATATATATAAAACGTACCTTGAAAATCTGGGAGCATTATATTCAGAGAGAAAGGATTGAGGGAAGAGAGAGAGAGATAGAGAGAGAAAGTTAGGAATTTTAGAGAGAGAGAATATGGAGATTTGACAGTCACCCCCTCCCCCAACCTACCCTCTGTCTAAAATCTAAATCTGTCTCTGATGTGTGTGTTGATGCATACGAGAAAAATATTGGTTACAAATAGTTGTGCTCCATCACGGATAATATAGATTTTTTGTAATATATATATATATATATATATATTTCTTATTTTTGGAGTTATTTTTTTTATTTTTGTGGTTGAGATTATTTTTACAAATAATTTGTAACATTCCAGACAACGTGTTTGAGGATACATTAGTTTAGTTCCTGATTCTGATATCATCTGTAATATTTTAGATCAGCTTTATTAAATATTTTTTTTTTGTTTGTACATCTGGACTGACTGTATGTGATAAAGGAGGTATCAGTCTCTTATAAGGCAATTTCCGTTCATCTTCCCAACCAAATTAAAAATATTTTTTCATTTAGGGGTTGTTTGGTTGGTTTTCCATTAAGTTTTGTATGGATAAATTTGTTTGTATGGATTAACCTCTTTGTATAAAATTGAAGGGTTTTGTTTATGAGGGTTTTTCCATATATAGAAGGATTGTATTTTTTAATTGAGATGAACAAGTTTGGAAAAAAAATTACTTTCTACATATAGCTCCACTTATAAATTTAATAAATAAATCACTTTTTATATCATTAAGCCACTATCAAACAATTATGTATAACTGACCAAATAAGTTGTAAGTCTAATTAAGCGCATTAAGTTGTTTCAAATATACCCTTAGTTTTTTTTTAAGTCATTTTCCTTTTCTTCTTTTCAAAATAAAGAATACGGCATAAGGGTTGTGATGATTTCTTTACTAGATTCTAGAAACAATAGCATCGTCATATCAGTAAAATATCAACCGCTTATATGTTAAGAAGTAGGTCATACAACTTTGTATGCCTCAAAACGATAGAATAGCTGGGCACCTTTAACTTGCTCATGCTAGCATACAAAAACGATAAAATAACTTAATTTATACTATATTATAAAACATTTGACAAAAACTCTTAAAAACCATTTTTTATGTATGAAGTACTGTTTATTGATGCATATTACTTAAAATTAAGATTACAAGTAAATTATGCGTAAGTACAACTTATTAAAGCTTCTTGTTTGAATTCGTGTAACTAAATGTAGATAAACATAATCAAACAGAGGATAAACATCTCATTTTAAATATTAAAAATCAAAAATATAATTAGGATAATCATTGACTTCTAAGAAAATACTTAATTATTATCAATATAAAAAATTATATTATTAAACCAAAAATAAATCATTTCATTATTAAACTTAAATTAAATTATATAAAAATAAATTAAAGAAATTACATAAAAAAATGAGAACATTTAGATAGTTGATTTGATACTAACATTGATATATTTTTTTTCAAAATTTTATTTTATTCAAAAATAAAATCATTATTGTTTTTTTAAAAAACACATAAAATCGTATTATAACATCGACATAGACAAAGAATAAAATAAAACATTAAAATCGAGATATATCTCGTTGCATTGTGCGAGTACCCTTCTAGTATTTTGTAATACAACTTAAAATTGGTAAAAGGTTATAGTCCAAAATTTAAAACTTATAAATAGCTTACAAATCCTATTTTCTATCCAGATGACAAATTGTCATAACTCCACCTAACTTAAACGAATTCAGAAACCTTATTTTCTGTCAATGTGAAATTAATTACCATAAATAATATAAACAAATTTATTATAGAACTAAATATTTAGGTCTTTGTAATTTTTTATTATTATATTTTCTTCTCTTTTCTTAAATTTAGGGTCCGTTTGGTTTGTAGGATTGTTTTCGAAGGATTTGGATTGGAATGTATTTGAAATTGTTGGTGTGTTTGGTTTGTAGGATTTGGAATGAAATTGGATTTCATTATTTATGAATAAATTGTAGAAAAAATTATTAACAATTATAAAAATAATTAAATAACATTTTTATTAATCGATTATTACAAAACAAATGTTTCCAACATTTTTTAAAACCTTATTACACACAATTCTACGAAATCCCATAAAATCCCGAGCACTCCCTAAAGATTCCAAAAATCCCATGTTTGAATGATTTCAATTAAATCAGAAGATTTCAAATCCGGATAATCCAACAAACTAAACATGAGATTGAAATGGATTTGAAATGCAAATCCCCCCAAATCCATTCCATTCTTTCAAATCAAACGAGACCTTAGAGAAGAGTTTTAGCGTAGCTATTGGAATAAATATTTTTCAAATCTTTAGAATTTCCAAATATAAATGCCCATTTTAAATACTAAACATGATTTTTTAGTCAATTTAATTAGTCAAAGCTTGCACACCATAATAATTAAGAAAATTTTGGATAATATAAATAAATGATACTTTCTCAGAATTTTCTAAATCAGGTTATGTGTTTTCCTACTAATTTCTTTTTCCATATAATATAAATATCATAAAAAACAATAACATATTTTTAATTTTTTAGTCTTATAAAAATATATTTTAATTTTTAATCTTATAAAAGTAATGTAAAAAAGGTTTGTATAGAAGAAACCTTAGAACATTTTAAGAAACAGAAACAATATATATATATATATATATATATATATATAACATGTGAATTAGGGGGTTTAAAAACTCGATCAATCCAATCCAACCCAACCCAACACGAAATAACTCAATTCGAAGCAATTCGATGTCTAATCGAGTTGTAAAATTTTCACACCATGGGTATTGGGTTGAAATTGAGTTACTATTATTTGAATTCAACCAAACTTGATGAACCTGATATCCTTGTATTTCTTGGGTTTAATATGACTGTTGAGTTTCTATTAATATATGCATTAGACAATTACATTATCACGTACCCTCTTCATATATACATATTTTCAATATATTCTTCATCTTTATATGACTCATTCGTATATATATTCAGTAATTGTGAACATATATGTAAATTGAGAAAATTAATTGAATATGATATACGTAAGATTTAAGAAATATCGATCAGTTGCATCAAATGGTTTACGATGAAAAATAAATTATGAGTAAAGAAATAACATATTCAAGGTTAGAAGAATATTTTAATGTACCAAAGTATCAATCCGACTAACCCATACGGGTTGGGTTGCACTTTCGTTTGGGTTGAGTTAGTTTAAAATTTTTCAAACTGCAAGCATTAGGTTGGATTATTTAAATGTCTTCAACCCGATCAACCCAACTCATAAACATCCCTAATGTGAACCTTATGTGATCCTCCATGATTTATTCAACGAAAATAAACAATAACATTATTTATTTTATTAATGTTTTGTAATATTCTTATTAATATTTTATTAAATAAAAGTACTTTGAAAATATATCTACAAGTTGAAAAGCTTGTCTTTATTTGATATATTACAAAACATTAATAAAATAATTGTGGTCCACAAGTTTCTTTAATTCTATCTTATATATGTCATGTACTTGTTGATTGTTATTTATTTATTTTTTGAAATTTATAATTATTATTTGATATTAATATTTAATTTTATTTATATTTACTTATCAATGTAAATTTTTAATAAAATTATATGTCAGATCAAATACTGTATTTTTGTTATAATAAAACGAGTACGTCATTTTGCTTCAAAAGGAAGTACGATTTGTTTTTTCTTCTTGTAGAAAATATCTTATCTTCTCTTTTTAGTAACGTTATATTTAGAAATACATTTCCTTTTTTATTAAGAAAATACATATAAGAGTTGTCTACTTTACTGATCAAATGGATAGGAAAACGATATTCATGTCACAGTTATAGGTCTTTTTGTAACCTTTTTTTTTTTATCATGACTGACCATTATGCAAAGCAGATGTAGAATTTAGCAGGCTCTTTCGTTTGACAGACGTGAGAAATGAAATCAGTCTGGAAAGAAAGTCGAACTAAAAACATCATAAGCTTGTTACATATCGTATATGACAAACTACCTACTGTAGTTTGACCCAACTTTCAACCTATAAAGTTCTTCATCTAGATCCCCGAACAGAGTTTAAAGATATTTATGTGGTTTTCAATTTCTATTTATTTCGTTTACAATGATCAGATCTCGTGAAATCAATTTTTTTTTTCACACCCAAATTTTTTTATTAACATGGATATCCAACCAGTTATGCGAGCCGGCTAATCTCAGAGCGACCGCCTGCTTTGCAGATAACCTGGAGTCACCGCATTTGAACCTCCGTGGCCACAAGGGGATTTTATTTCTCCTTGTATTTGAATATGTGACTTTCTGATACTTTTGATCTTTGGAGCCAAGCTCAAACCAATCAGACACCACTCTTGTGGTTTATATTTTATGAAATTACCAATTAGATTTATCTGTTAGTTTTTTATTTCATGGTTTTTGATCAACTGTCAGTAACAGTGTCGGATCCAGAAAATTAACGGGGGTGGGGGACATTAGATGGGACTTGAGAGAGTGAAACATATGGTCATATGAGACTAGGGGAAAATCATATAAGACGAGGATGAAAATAAAAAATTTAAGCTAGTCAACAAAGTTTTTCTTAAAGGCTGGATCCGCCCCTGGTCAACCGTATTGTTTTCTTGCTTTCATTTTCTGGATAAAAATACCCATTTTTATGACTTTACCAATTATGATTACAAATAATTATTAAGAATTTATTATTGTGAAATTATAAAAGATTTATGGTTCCCATCACAATATAATAATGGTTGAAGACACTTGGGTCAAAATTATTGATTCTTGCCCCCCGCCCCCATCCAAAACACTTATAAGTTGTGCCTTAACCAAAACATTAACATCAATTCACTCATCATCACCCCCAACATTATATATGATTAAGGTTGCTTTCACACTATTTTAAGGTTTAAACATTGGTTACACTATGTGTATATATATTAAAATAATAATGTTTTAAATCTTTAAATAAAACAATTTTCAGTAGTGATGAATATTTGATATAATTTAGACAACTTTTAATTTGTTCGATTTTTTTGAGCTAAATATAACACAGCTATACTAATTCTTTACGTATGAAAGTTGAGGTTGTCGTTATAACCATCACGGAATATCAATAGGTCCAGAACTTACACTAGAAATACACAAGGCTTGAACCGAAACAGTCTTTGGTTTGGTCCTAAGGGCCAGGGCCCGGGCCGGTCCATAACCCCCAAAATTATTCAGTTCCTTGACTCAAAAATAAACTTCAATCTAGGTTTAGTTGGTCTAGTTATTTCTAAACCGTCATTGCGTAGGCTAGGATTTTATTGTGTAAATAAATAGTTTTAAAAATAAATATTGATGTGTGTATTTGAGAGATACATCCCAATGGAACATAAATCTTTTACAAGCCTGACCATTAGTACAATCAATACAAATGATGAGAGTTTATTTATTATTATTTGGGTATTCATGCAAGATTATCATAGTTCATTTATTATGATCGACACTTGTATTAAAAACAATCGAGATATTCATTAAAATAAATGAGCGATTAAGATTGGTTGGTATAGTTTATACTAATAGTTGGGTTTATAAATGAAATCACTTCCACCCCAATTACATATGTAGCTATATATGTGTGTATGTGTATAGAGAGAGAGAGAGAGAGAGAGAGAGACCAACTTGTTTTCGGGAGACCACTTTCTTACACTTGAAACTTCACAGCAATACACCATGAAGGTAAGCTTCACAATATTTTTACTGAGAATGTTTGAATTTTATTACCTTCACAGTGTTCTTTTGTGAAGTTTCAAGTGTTTTTATTTAAAATTTCAAGTGTAAAAAAGTGATATCATTAATAAGTTTATTTTCACACGTTAGTTTATGACAAAAAAAATTTACCACAAGGTAGCTTGAGCCAATAATACAATTTAAATTGTTTGTATTTCTCTTTAAAGTCTGTAAATATATAATATTTTCAACAAAATTTTAGGAATTTTTTGTTTTTTGTTTTTTTGTCACAACAAGAAAATTGGTTTATTGGATACCATACTTTTCTAAGAGGTTGTTTCTTTACCTCTTAATAGTTCCATTAAGAGGCAGTCTCTGAATCGTTAAGAGATGAATCTTGTTTGGCAAAAAAAAGTTTGCCTCTTAATGGTTCTAAAACCCTGTGAATAATTTTGTATCATGAGTCTCCCTTAACCATTAAGCACCCTAATTTCATTGTAAACAATTACCAAACAATTATATTTCATTTTACACTCTATCATGAGAGCCTCTTAATCATTCTAATCAATTAATCATTCTGGACCAAACCATTCAGCAACTGCCAAACGATCCCTAAGTATCATAATAAACTATTAAGTAAATTATGGATTTGGTCCCTTAACTTCTTTGGTGTGAAGGACCAAATCCATGACAAAGTGCATAATATGAACGGTTCTTTTGTATAAATGAAATTAAGGGACCAAATCTATAATTTTTGACATACTTTAGGGACCAAATCCATAATTTAATCTAGACTATTTTATAAGACTTAATTTATAGGACTAAGTGATAAAACATCTTATATAAAGTCGTTGTAATAAGTTTATAGGACGTTTTTAGGTGTCCTCATAATTTTTTTGGACATTTTTAATATAAAGCGTTAAATTAGCAATTTTATAAGACTTTTGATAAAATATCCTATAAACTCATATTCTTATAGAACAGTTGTTTTATAAGACATTTTTTCAAATAATGTCCTATAAAATTGTTAATGCAACGTTTTCTATTAAAAGTGTTCTTAAAAATTATTAAGATGCTAAAAACGTCCTATAAACCCCCTTAGATTGAAAGCTTTATTTTTGGTCTTATAAATTGAATCTTATAAAACGGTCTATTAGGACACTTATAAATTGGTGATGTCCTATAAACCCAATTTTGTTGTAACGTGTATTAACCTTAAACCATCATAACATCTCCAACATATTTTCTGAAATAGAGATGTTGTTCTCTATTTTGCTTCAAAGAAATACCTCTATTATTATTATTATTATTATTATTATTATTATTATTATTATTATTATTATTATTATTATTATTATTATTATTATTATTATCTAAAATAGAGA